CTGGGGCATAGGAGGTGGGTTGAAAAGGCGGGAAGGGATCTCGTTAGGATAGACAGACTAGTGAAGACATTTTTGAGCCACCTTTGGCAAAGCAGAAAAGAGCGATTGGCCATCGGTGATCGGTCCTGTGGGAAAACTGCTTCGTCCTCTCGAGGACGCGTGGTCAATGGTCCAACCGCTGAGGCATGCAAAACATAAGAGTACGCCCCCCCCCCNGGGAAAACTGCTTCGTCCTCTCGAGGACGCGTGGTCAATGGTCCAACCGCTGAGGCATGCAAAACATAAGAGTACCCCCCGCCCCCGCCCCCGCCCCCCCCTCGAACCGTAACTACAGGAGCAACTACTTGCCTGCGCCGATCTCGCGGTCCAAGCCATCTGGGGCCTACCCCAGGCACCCGTGGTCCGTCGCTGGAGGGCTCTCTTTACGCTCTTGGAGAACGACGAATCCGGTGAGTCGTCAAATTAAGTGATTTCATCAAATCAAGTATTTAAGTGATTTCATGTTTTTTGCGGGGGGCATGTTGTTTTGTCTTGCCTTTCCCGTGCCTGCTGTGTCTGAGAGCACATTTTTACTGCTTGGATTTGCGGTGCCTGTTGTTCAAGAGCGTCTCGGTTTGTTTCTCCGCACTATCTCGATACCACACACACAGACACGCTCAAGGCCCGGCTCTGGAGGTTGTGAATCAGCCTTGCCTATGTCACTGCTTTTTCGGTGGACGCGCCGGCTGTGCCACCCTATAGTGGTACTTGTACAGTGTTCGGGCCCACCACAAGTGCGCGTACGTATGTATACACTCGGCCAGCTTCCCGCGACACTGAATTCTCCTGCGTGCGCTATGGCTCACCTGCTCTTGCCTCCACCCGCCGGAAACAAGCTTCCCCGTGATTTGTTTGTATCGCCTGGGCCCAGCACACCCCATGTCTTGTCGACACATTGTTCGATTCTGCAATGACCTGCGGGTGTTGGCACTTAAACCGTAGGTTGCACAAGATGCCACAACCCCTTGGGCGACTTTGGCGCGACTGGCGATGATGATGTTGTATTTTCCGCGACTGACGGAATACTCGAATATGACGATGATGATGTTATGGTCCCCGCGACTGAAGTGAATGCCCAACGATAATCATGATGTTGTTCTTTCCGCGACTGGCTGCATGTCCAACAATAATTATGACGTTATTTTTTCCGCGACTGGCTGAATGCTCAACGATGGTGATGTTGTATTTTCCGCGACTGACTGAGCGCTCGACGATAATGATGGTGATGTTTTTTGCAGGCGTGGGCGATGGCGGCGGGTCGCTCGACGGCGGGGAGCAGACGGTCGTGGCGAAGATGCTGCTACTCTCCGCCCAAATGGCTGCCGCTGAGGCCAAGACGGGCAGGAGGACTGCGGCGGGATACCAGCTGGGCAAGGAAGCGAAGCAGGTTAGAGAACCGAAGGTGTTCCTTCATTTTTCTGTGTGCCAGCTCCAGGCAAGGAAAAGCGAATAAGGTTAGAGATTCAAGGGCGTTATGTTGCTAGTTGTTTTACAGAACGAAGTGGGTTTGAGGTTCAAAGGTTGTTCTACCACATGCCGAGCAGGTCGTTGCAGTCCGCGCCTTTGCTGCTGACCTTTCTTTCCAAACTTCACAAGCAGCAACAGCAGCAGTGCTTTTTGTCATCGACTCGACCAACCCTCCAACCGACTTCGATTGTCGTTGTCTACCTCCCGTCCTCCCTTTGGTCACCCCTGGTGTCGATGCTGGTTGGTTATGTGGCACTGTGCGGTGTTGCTGCTGTCGGGACCATCCGGCGTTGGTGCAACCGCCTTGTGCAGGAAGTACGCGAGGCGGTCGCGGAGCTGGCCGAGGCGTGTCTGACTCACCTGCCCAACCTCTTGGCCAAGTACCAGGTGACCGACGTTGATTGGCTCGGTTGATTTGGGGTTCGATTCGTAGTATTCTTCCGTAAAGGGTGCTGAACGGATTTGATTGGTTCGATTTGTATCGTGGTATGCATATGTATCCTTCTTTCAGGGTAGGTCACGTAAGAAATCTCACCCGCAGCCTTTCGAGTTGGATTGCTTGCGCTTTGTTTCACCTTGTGGTGATGGCGTTGTTGCGTTTCTGTTTTTGCACGTCTCGATTGTCCTCATTACGCGCGAGCTCCGCCTAACATGGAGTCGCGGATATTATTGTTTTATGAGAGGGTCGAGACAAGTAAAAATACACTCTCACAATCCGTTATCCCGTAAAGCCGTCGTGGTATCAACTTCATGCGTTTTCTAAGGCATAGCCGGGACGAACCAGTCTTCCTCGCTGTTATCCGCACCATCAATAGTCTCTTTAACCGTAGACGCTGGCACCCCCTCTCTCCCCCCCTTCCCCCCCTCCGCTGATCACTATCAGTCGGATGACGCCAAGCTTGCCTTGCTCGCGGAGCTGCCGACGTGCATCCCGTCCGAAGCCCTGGCATCTCTGGTGTCCGGGTCCGGGAAGGGAGCTTTCTCGGATCTGGTCTCCCGCATGAAGGACGCCTTCCTCATGTCCAACTCCCCATTGGTCATGGACGCCGCTGCCGCGAGTCTGGGTTGGTTTCTGAACGCTGACCACGCCAAGAGAGCCGAGGTATGATAGTGGAGTGTTTTAGCGGCGGAGTTTTGTTTCTTTTTCTGGTGTTTATTTTTTGCTCGTTTAGCTGCTGGTCCCTTAACGTTGACCACGCCAAGAGAGCCGAGGTAAACACTTTGTAGCCTGTAGCTTTGTTTCTCATCGCGTTGTGTTGTTCATCATGGAGTTATTGCTGTTTTTGTTGTTGTCTTCTTAACATGGCCCGGCAGCTTCAGTCACTTTCGGCCCTCTAGTGTACCCAATAATTCACTCAGCCATCCCTCTACCCCCGTTCTGTCAAATGAGCGATCTCGATACCCCTAAAAAGCCACTCTCAGCCTTCTTTGGTACCCTTCTCATGTATTCAGTCACTCATCAGCCTTTTCTATACCCTATTCCGTCACGCAACGGTAGCCCTCTCTGCACCCTGCGCTGTAATCTCCTTCGCACGTCTTCTCGTTTCGACTCAACAAAAAAACGCCAACAATACTCTCCTGCAACACCATCGACGCCCCCCCGCAAACACAGGTTCAGGCTGTGGCGCAGGGGATGGTAGAAGAGCTCTTCGCCAAGGTCAGCACCCTCTGCCTGCAAGACCAGAAGGCCACACCAGCCCGAGGAAAAGCGAAGGGGGCCGGGGGCAAAGGAAGGTGAAAACGGCTAGAGTCGGGGCCCTCTAAATAGTGCGGGTATGTGCCAAGTGTATTCACACGCACCATGGCGGGCACCCGCGCTGTCCAACGTATATATAAACCAAACCATCCGGATTGTTCCATTTGTACTAGCCAATTTTACCCGCGTTTTACCGGGCACCAGCCCCATGTAACCCGCACTATAGAGGGCCCCCGACTCCTGTAAGCGAAACATGCTCTCATTCTTCTTACTAAACAAAAGACGAAATGCACCTCTTTCCACCGATAATAGTCAAAACAAAATCTCAGACAAACGAAAAAAAATGAAATTAGTTCATGGTTTTCTATGACCATCAGTTTTTTTTTTTCCTTTTTTTTCAAACTCATCCCTTCCTACAGATAGTAGAGTCAAACGAAATCTTAAAAAAGGTAAAATTCGAACCTAATTCAAGGTTTTATCTCAATAACCGGTTCGTGGTTTCTTCTTTTTTTACAAATTCGTCTCTTCCCATAGATAAGCAGTCAAGAAATACTTAGCATTGGCGTGCTCTCTGACCAACCGGTGCGCTTTTCTTCCTTTTGTTTTTTCCCCTTTTAGGTGGAAGGACACCGGCATCGGGCTGGCGAACTCTTTCCGACGGCTCCGCTGCCTGGCGGGCTGCACGGACGTGAGCGGCTGTGTCGACGACACCACACTGTCCGAGGCGTGGGAGGGGGTCCAAGGGGCCGTCCGTCGCCGCTGCCTTCTCGCCGAGGTATTGTAGGCGTATGGAGGCGTTATCGCTGGCTTGCACAGACAGGACCGCGAGCACGAGGTCGGGCCAGCCGATTCTCGGATTGTGCTGCACGATAGGTGTTATAGCTAGCTTGCACAGGAGGGTCTCGGATTCCGTGTTATGTGGCATCCTCTTCACCGCATGATCGGTGGCATGTTGCGGGTTTATTTTTCTCCTCTTGTTCTCGCGTGCAATAAATGAACGAGGTCGAGCCAGCCGAGTGTCGGATTCCGTATTTGGTGTTTGGTGGTACTGTGCGTTTTTTTTTGGTCCTCTGTTGGGGTGTGTCTGCTGTGGCATGCACTTGCGTCGTTTGGTCAACTTGCTGTAGTGGTGGGTATCCGTTTGCTTTCTTTCTCTCTCTCTCTCTCTCTCTCTCTCTCTCTCTCTCTCTCGCTCTCTTTCTCTCTCTCCCTCTCCCTCTCTCTCGCTCTCTCTCGCTCTCGCTCTCTCTCGCTCTCGCTCTCTTTCTCTCTCTCTCTCTCTCATTCCCTTTCTCTCTCTCTCTCTCTCTCTCTTTTTCTCTCCACAGTGTACCCACGGGTGACACCGATGGCCGATGATGTTCCTCCAGTGCTATCCCCCGTTGTTGCGGCGTGCTTTGACCTGATTCCGAGATGTCTTGAATAGTGGTTGGTTGACCCCTGTCATACTGTCATACCCCTCTCGAGTCGTTTTTTGTTACGAACAATCCGGATGAGCTTCCTGCCCTTTCTTAAACCCTGAGGTTTGGTGGGATCGTGCGTTGTGCAGGTACTACCGGCGAAGACGCTACCCTCACAGCACCAGGAACGATTGGATGTGGCGAGAGGGGTGAGTGAGTCATCATGACCCGCGGATTTGATTTGTTGAGTGTCGGAAAGGTCGCGTGTTTCGTGTAGCACATTGTTGCTTGGCTCCCTCGTGAGGCGTGTGAGGAGCTAAGTAAGCCCTGGAAATCGCCCTCCGACTGCTGTGCCTGTGCAAGCACGAAGGTTGCCTTTGCAAGGCTAGTGCTCTTGTTTGGGTGCCATGTCTTATTGCAGCCCGAACACATTTTCCTGGGCACGAAATGGACACACACCCATACGCGCATGCTGTATCCTCGAGTTCCTTTTTTTTTTTCAACGCTCAAGGAAAGGGCGGAAATGGAACCGTTCTCTCAACTCGCCTGCATGCTGCTTCGTTGTTGCACTTTCCGCTACGAAAACAAGCCTCCTTTTCTTTTTTGTATCTCGATTTTTTCCCTGGCAAGGTGGTAGAGGAAGGGAGCAACGTCCTGTACTCGCTCTTCTTGTGGCAGATCAAGCCTCTCTTTTCGCACCTCATGGAGGCTGGCTCTTCAGCACCTGCTCCAGCGTCGGAAGGTATGTTGATGTTGTTGTGGTCCTCACGCATTCGATCGTGCCGGCCTCTGATGATTGCTGATGATTGCTGATGATTGCCTTCGATGGGTGGTGTTTTCTTCGCAAGATTTGGTTCGATTCGATCGGTGTGTGGTGTTGCTGAGATGGCAGTTGTTGTTGCTGCTGCTGCTGCTGCTGCTGCTGCTGCTGCTGCTGCTGCTGCTGCTGCTGCTGCTGCTGCTGCTGCTGCTGCTGCTGTTGCTTGTATCATTATATCATTGTTGATGTCGCCTTAGTTTTTATCCGCACTTGGGGTCACGGCGAGAGAAAGATGACCTCTCGGGGCTTGTCCTGGGGAAGCAGACTTAAATCATTTGCCCACTTTTCTTGGAAACCTCGGACCGAAAACATCACAACAACCTCCGCCTTCCATGCCATGTTTGCAAACCATGTTCCTCGCTTGGTTTCGAAACAAACATATTGAAAATGCTCATGTTGCTCGTGTGTTTTGTGGGCGGATCATGACACACGTGATTGGTACCGCAGCAGCTGCGGCTCCCGCCGACGGAGGCAGTTTGGACGACGGGGATGCCAAGAAACCGACCCCTGCCAAGGGGAAGAAGAGAGGCAGGGGAAAGGGGAAGAAGGCCCAGGAGGACGAGGAGGATACCCTTGGTTGGTGTTGTTGTTGCTGTTGTTGCTGCTGTTGCTGTTGCTGTTGCTATTTTTCGTCGTGACTGCTGTTGGTCGGTTGTCGCTGTTGTTGTTGTTGTTGTTGTTGTTGGTGTGGTGTTGGTGTTGTTGTGACTTCCAGTGTTGTTTTTAATATACGACAACAGTTGCTAGCCTAATTTAGCAAGGCGTTGTCCACAACGTGGTGCTCAGCACGGCGACATCATATCTGTTGTACCCACCTAATTGTTTTTTTTTTCATCATTTTTTAGCGTTTTAGCCTGCGTTTCACGCGTCCTTGCTTCCCGCAATGCAACCTTTTCGCCGTTGGGCGTTTTCTTCTTTTTAATGTCTTTCTCAAAACCAAGCGTCGTTAAATACAAGGGAATTCGACCAAGAAGCACACACTTATGTTCCTGTGGGAGCATGCAGGTGACACTAAAGTATTGCGGTATTTTTGGCCGCTCCTTATTGTGTCGGTAAAAAAATAATTCGCAGGTGACGGGACTTTGGAGGTGGAGGAGATCACGGAGGAGAAAGTCCAAGAGGTCGTCAGATACCGGTAAGAAAATGTTATTATCGAGGTTTTTGTTTTCGCCGGAAGTTTCCGGGTGGACTTTATAATCGCTCAAACGACTTCTCTCCGGCATCAACAATTTGATCGGGTCTAGTAGGGTCGTGGCATGAGGGGTCACCTTTCACGCTTGCACTGTGTGCATCATGGCAGGTGTTCGACTCTATTTATCCCTATCGGCGACACCATGTATCCAAGCCAAGTTCTCTGGGTACCTGCTTGTAACCCGCGGCGTACACAGTCGACCACAAAACAATCGTTTCTTCCGAGCGAAGCGCCTGTTTTTGAAAATGCGGTTCAAGAAAGCTGCTCCTCTTGTAGAGATTGTGTTTCAAAACTGTGTCGTATCAAGTTTCGATGTGTTTCTCCTCCACTATTGGATAGCCCTTCGCACATTTTCGTTTACCTTTTATAAAGTCTCCTTGCACTACACTACGTTCCCTTTTTTTTTTATCAGGGACGATCTTGTGGAAGTCCTGCGAGCCATGCTCGCGATGCACCTGTACCCCAGGAGGGACGACGACGATGAAGAGGAGGACGAAGGCCAAGACCAGGGAGGGAAAGGGGCCGCGGGCGGGGGGGGCGCCGTGGCTGAGGACGGGATCGAGGGGGTACCCAGGGTGCTGACGGCGGACCAGGTGACCAAGAGCCAGCGTTGCCGTACTGCTGTCGAGTTCACTATAAATAGTAGATGACATCAGCAGAAAGAGCGGCCGGTGACGGGACGCAGTTAGTGTGTAGTTGAAGAGGAGTCACGGCAGTGAGGGGTGGTGCGACCGCGGCATCTACTACTCCCGAGCAATCGGCCTAGAAATTTTGTTGGTGGAGTGCTTTCGATGCAAACCAGCCGCAGCAACATCAGGAGTCGGTAGTAGCAGGGAGTCAACACCCAGTGAACGCTTGAGTGACCGCGGTGATGGTGCGGTGGCTAGTGTATCCCGAGTGTTACGTCTAGAGAAATTTTGTCTGGTGTGTTATTGATGCAAAACCGGCTGCAGTGACATCAGCGGTCGTCGCCGTTCTGCCCTCTGGGTGCAACACGCTGAAAGGGTTATGCTCTGAGCTTTTTGCGGTACTGAGTCGTAACGGTATCTACACGAGCTATGGAATCCCAATGCTCTATGTCACTTTCCCCTTGTCCTTCTGTCTCCCTTATTACCTCTCTGCCCCCCTCCCTCCCTTGCCCTCATCGTCATGTCGGCGGGAAAAAAAACAGAAAATGCGGCTAGTCGGTCCCGTGAGGCTGGCGGCATGGAGGCTGGCAAATGAACTACGAACCGTTCTGAAGGAGGCGCTAGGGTCCGTGGAGGGGCCCGTCGCATCTCTGTCCTGGGTACCGGATGTTGCCTTCACCCGCTTGCTGCAGGTTTGTATGTTGACAGGTAGAAAGGGTTCGGAAGAAACATAGGTAGGTGTCATATATAGTCGTTGGTTTGTTTCCTGGGTCGAGATGGCGTGTCGATAAAGAGTTCCAGGATGAACGTTCTATCCTTCGACCTGGACGCTCTATCCTTCGAGTGTGTAATCGTGTACACGCCCCTCTCTTTTCCCGCTCTTTGAGAAGGACTGTTTTGATTTAATTATTGTCTTTGTAAGGAACGTTCTGATTTGTCCAGCACTTGTTTTAAGAATTAGCTCCTCGTCTTGCACCTAATTCAGTGCTCTCTCGTGAAATACTGCCCGGGTTCACGACAATCATTTCCTCCAAAGGCTATTCCTCTTCCTTGTCTGCCCCCCCCTCCCCCAAACGGAACGGTATTGGCCATCGGTGATCGGTCCTGTGGGAACAATGCTCCGTCCTCTCGAGGACGCGTGGTCAATGGTCTAACCGCTAAGACATGCAAAACATAAGAGTACGCCCCCCCCCTCGGTGTTTGCCATCGGGATTGGGTTTNCTTCCTTGTCTGCCCCCCCCTCCCCCAAACGGAACGGTATTGGCCATCGGTGATCGGTCCTGTGGGAACAATGCTCCGTCCTCTCGAGGACGCGTGGTCAATGGTCTAACCGCTAAGGCATGCAAAACATACGAGTACGCCCCCTCCCCCCCCCTTCCCTAGGAACACTTCGAAGAGATGGAGGAGGTGATGGTGGCGTCCACCCTGCGGGGCCCCCGCCAGCAGACGCGCTCCTCGGAGACCAAGAACGGGAGAGTCAAGGTCGAACACAACGATGACGATGATGATGGTGATGGTGATGGTGATGGTGGAGAGTCGAGCGACAACGGGGAGGGTGATGACGTCGACGTCGACGCTTCCTCTGGAGGTAAGCGTAGACGGGCACCATGCTAGAGGGCTAATGGCTAGGTTGGTTTCCAGACATCTTGAGCGTGAGTCGTAGATGTGACGAATTATGGCATCGCATGAGTCATACCTTGTTGTTCCCCGGTGGTATGTCCGATGTGCCATGGCAGATAACCTTCCTCAAGCATGTATCTGGACGGCAGCATCGTGTTTCTTGCCCCCTCTTTTTGTGTCTTTGTTTCTTCCCTTAAGCTCATGATGCAGACAAAGAGGGAGTTTCGTGTGTTCCATCCAATTGGGGCACATCCAAGCCTTGGTCGCTAGATTTCCGAAAATAACAATTACTTTCTTACAACAGGATGCATTGTTAAGCAAACATGTCGGTTGTGTTGTACGGCCCTTGAAGGTTGTATTGAATTTTCAGCATTTTTCCTTTCCTTTGGATCAATCATATTCGTCGTGCATCTGCGGGAATATCGTTGATGATATTTCCTGGGCGTTCCATATCGCGGATGAGTCTAGCCATCGGCTTCTACAGAGAAGACCCCATGCTTTTTTTTTGCCGCCCCCAACCGATTGTGCGTCGATGTATCACCCTTCGTTACCACCCTTCTTTCCTGATAACTCGTCGTCGTCCTCATCGTTTGGGTGGGTGGGTGGGTGGGTGTTTCGTGTTGTGGCGGTCGTTTTTCTTTTTTCTTTCTTTTTTTTTGCGGGAACTAAAGGCGGGGACACGGTGAAGGATGCGGGCCTTCTGCTCATGCCGCTCATGAAGAGCATCTACAGCAACGCCGACAAGTGAGTGAGAAGTTACAAGACCGATCTCACACGCGTGTTGACGGAAGGGAAGGGGCGATGCCATGAGATTGGCGGCACTCTTCCGATGCTCATGGTCGTAGTTTTTGCGACCACAAGCTTCATTGTTGAAACAAGTGTGTGTCGACAGGCTGGTATGTGGTGGTTTCAGGAGTGCTACTGATGATTGAAGGTAGTCGTCAGTTGTTTTATGAGTCGCGCTGCCATTTTCCTGTTTCAGGCTGAACAGGGGTAACCTTCGTTGCTGTTCAATACGTGTATGCGTGTTTGTATGTGTGTAAGACTGAACCAGATGCTTTTGCATCGTTTTTTTTCAATGTGTTGAATAAATGCGCGTGTTTGTGCGTCAGGCTGAACAGGAGTCATCCCCATTGCTCTTCAATATATGTCTTATGTGTTCGTGTGTGTCAGGCTGAACAGGAGGCAGGCGGCGGCGGTGGTGGCCCACCTAGTGCGCTCCGGCAAGACCGGGAGCGGGTTCGCCAAGTGCTTCGTCTCCAAGCTCAAGGACCACAGCCTCGTAAAGTGAGCTAGCTAGTTCTGTGCTGCTGCTGTTGACATTTCTGCCCAAAGCTATTTATTTCTTCGAATTCAAAAGCCCCGTCAAGTGAGACCAATGTTTCGTCGTTTCTCTTTGCTCTGCTCCAGAGGTTTATGCGGAACGGTTTGTACCGTGGGTATGCGAATTAAGTGCTTTCTTGTGGAGCGCTCGTACTATTGTGATATATACTTATATTTTTTTCCCCCAATTTTTGTGGAGAGATTTCAGCGCAATCGTAGGTGTTCGAGTTCGTTAATTCTGGAGCAGTCATTACGTCGTTTCCGGGGTGTTGCTTGTGGTACACCGGGTGCGTGAATATGTGGTAGGAGAAGTAACTGTGAGTGTTAGTCGTCTTCGGGTTCGTGTTCCGAGGAACGTTCCGAAGAACGGAGAAGATCGCTCCAGTGCTCGTGGGAAGTCTCGTCACAACCCCCGTATGCATTCTATGTGTCGATGACTATTGAACGATCCGTGTCGCAAGCCTCGCCACGGCACTGTCTATCCTTGCCCCTCGAGTCCCTTGCTTGCATGCGGCGACGACTTGTGTGCGGACCATGAATGGTTCGGACTTGCTGAAACGGTAGCTGTAGCTTGGTGTTGCCGGCGTGCTTGGTATTGATGTGGACTTTTTTCTTGTACAGGTGCCTCGAGGTGCACATGGCGACGCTCAGGGTATTTTACGACAAGTGGGTGGTGGCGGCAGCGGCGGACGGCAGCGTTGAGGAGGATGACGCGGACCTCAGCGACGACGAGAACACGTGAGTCATCTCATTGTCGTTGTTGCTGCTGCTGCTGCTGCTGCTGCTGCTGCTGCTGCTGCTGCTGCTGCTGCTGCTCCTGCTGCTGTATTTTTCGTCGTTTGTTGCTTCTTCGTTGATGATGGTTGCGCTCGTGCTCATGCGGGTGGCCGCTCTGCTCCTGTTGTCATTCGTCACCACCGACCACCACAATCATTCCAATCATTCCTCGGCTTCTCTGCACGTCTGCCTCCCCGATTCACTTGACAGGCGCAAGCAGTGGGACCAAGACCTGGCGGGGATGGAACGCTGGCTCCCCCTGGCTCGACGCCTGTCCATGTCTCTAGGAGTCGGCCCGTTGAAGAGCAAGGACCTCGCCGAGCAGAAGACTCTGCAAGACCTCTTCCTCGGATTCATGAAGGTATGAAGGTGGGGACAGGACGGGGGGGGGGGGGGGNGGGGGGGGGGGGGGGGGGGGGGGGGGGGGGGGGGGGGGGGGGGGGGGGGGGGGGGTTCGATACGGAGTCTAAGTTTGAGTTGGGAAGAGGCGGCGGGGTGGCAGCCAGTCGTGGGTATAGGTCTTGGTGTTGATACGGACTTGTCTGTCTGCATGCAATATTTTAATTCCAACCCGCTTTTCGTGTTTGCCCAAACTGCTGTTATGATTTCTACTAGGTAGCTCTTCTTCATGCACGGGTCAGGCGTCACCCCTCCCTTTTTTTTCCTCTCTTGGGGGTTCGACAGCAGTAGACTATGCTGTGTCTTGGCGGAGGTTTTGTGGTATTGCCATGTAGTTCCACCGCATCGAAGTAGCGTTGATGGCGTCTCTACTGTAGCAAACGACGAAGACGGTCCAGATCAAGATCCGATACAACGGTAAAGTCCCGCTTCCGCACTCCCTGGCACAAGGTCGGGGTGCGTTTCGCCCTGGATGCCGAGGGAGACAGGCTCCTCTTCCTGGAGGGCATGCGGGAGTACTCGAGCAAGGTCACCGCCCGACAGAAGAAAGCCCTCGCCAATGTCTTCGACGATGAGGTAGAGGTTATCCGGTTTATTTTTGCCGCCATCCCCCAGCATCCAGCCGGAATATCTTTTGAACCACTGACGTACCCCCTAGTGACATATGTTATATCATAAGAAAGCTCTGTTTCGAGCGTATCATTTGATCGAAGCACTTTCTCGTTTTGGTTGACGAGAAAATCGCAACTCCGTCGAAATTTTGGCAATAATCCACTGGATTTTCATGGTCGGGGCTACTTGCAAACCCGGAAACTGAGAAAGTGGACAAACCACCGCTCGCCCACTGATACGGCCGACAACATGTTGCTGGCTCGTGGCCAAGAGACAACCCCGGAGGAGCGCAAGGTCAAAGAGTTGACCGCCCTTGCCTCGGCAAAGGAGGCCAGATGTGCTTCTAACGAGGCTATCGATGAGATGTTGAAGAAGTTCAAGGCCGCAAGTCATCGCCACATGAGCGAAGAGTTGAGAGCAGTAGCGTCGCCGCGGATTGATAGATGGATAGATTTGAGTATCTAGATACGGTAGACAGACATTCTAGATACATCGAAGCTGAGAGAGGGGTGATTGTCTTGCGTGTAGATGAACGAAACGAGGCTGCATCCGAGGCGTTATGTGTTGTTGCAACAGCACTTGTTCTTGGTTGGAGAACTGATGTCGGGGCGAGGGTGATAGCATAGGCAGTGTGGTTAGGAAGACAGACCTCCAGCTCGTATTTCGGGACAACTACATGGTCGATTCGGGTTAATGATGTGCCTTTTTGGGATAATTTTTGACAAAAGATGGCCGCTTTCTCCCCGTTTTTTTTTTTGACACCGGAGTTCGATGCCTTTCGGCCGTGCGGTTCGTGTCAACTATATCTCGCGTGTTAACTCTCAAAATTGAGCGAGAAACAGTGGGGGTCTGGTGGTGGCATAATTTATCCAGACGGACTAGTCTATGTTGTATGCATAGAATCGATTTTCTCCTTCTCTTTGTCTCCCCCCTCCCCCCCTCCCCCCCTATTTCTCTCCCCCGCAAACCCACCCGTCTGTCGCTCGCTCTCGTACAATACTGTGTATTTTCTGTCCCTCCCTCCCCCTTTGAGTCTTTTTCGAACCTTCGTTCTCTGCATTTTTTCTTTTTTCCTGTGTAGTTTTCTCAATTTTTGGTGTTGTTCCGGGGTGCGCTCCCAAGATGGCGACCACGCGATGATGAAAAAAACATGAGCTAGCTAGCTACAAGAGCGACTGCTGACCACCACCACTCTTTGGCCAAGCTCAACAACGCTACTTCGAAATACGTACGTTCTCTGCGTTGACAGACAGTGCCTGTGCTGTGTCTGTTTTTGCGCTAATGTCGTTGCTCCTATTGCCCTCTGTTGCTGCTGCCACTGCTACAACTACTATTACTACTGCTGGGGTTGGGGTTGCGGTGATGCAGGCGAAGGGGCTGCACGACCATGTTCTGGAGGAGGGGAGGGAGAACGCGACCTCCTGGGACTCAGGCGAAGGCCAGGTGTGCATTACAGTATTATATATGAGTAACACAGAGTAAAAAGAGTGTGTGCGTGACGTACGTGAGATTATGCCGTCCGTCCTTCTCATCGAAACGTCTTTCCTCTCCCCTTGCCTCTGGGTGATGCTGGCGGTTACTCCTTTTCGTCGGTGCGTTAATGCCGTAGGTTGCGTAAGATATCGCACCCCCTTGAACGATTTTCTAAGACCTTTCACTCGGTAAGAAAAGCGGTGACTGTGCCGACAATCGCAGCCGTGGAGCCGTCTCGTCGAGAACTTTCCAAAGACCTCATCGTTTGATGTCGGCATCCTCTTCGTCGCGGAGAAACCGAGCCTTGAAAATCGATCCAGGAGGTGCGGCATCTTACGCACCCTACCGTAGGCAAGTACGGCAGTAGCGTTCGATTTTGGATTGACTCACGACTCCAGGAACAACGCCAAGCATGGAACATGTAGACGTGTGATTGATCTAGTTTTACTGGCGGACGTTTATTGGCGGGCTGCGGTACACTCCTGGGCTTGCGTCAATCAACAGATTCTGTTTTTGAGTTTTTTTCCCACCCTGCGGTGGTCGAGTTTTTTGGCGGTAACCATAATGGTGGTCGAGTAGATCATGTTGTGCGGGGTCGA